CCCCTGGAAGGTTTCCTAGTTCTTATTTTGATCACTTGCTGGAGCCATCTTATCCTGCTCCTTTATGTGATTTGATATTGTTTTCTCCAATGCATCAAGAAGTTATCATATTTATTTATTTATTGTATTCTTGTTTGCTGCATCTTGAGCTTTTGTTTTATTTTGATATATCTGAGTAGGCTGGGCATGTGTGCTACTCTGGTCGCTAATCTGGCCACACTGAAGCTCTCACTTCCTGTCTCCTGGTGGGCGGGGCAGCCACTGGATGTGAAAGCATGGGTCTCTGTTCGTTGGTCTTGTGGGACTGGTAAGGATGTAGCTGGTGTTTCTGGTAAGGTGATATATCTGTCCAGCTGGTCACCTGGCTGTGCATGCAGGGGGGCATTCACCTTGGTTGCTGGGTTGGGTGCTGTGTTTGCAATCTGCTTACTGCTGAGTGGTTGGGGCAAGGGTTCTTGGTTATCAGTCACTGGGTGGGTGGTGCAGAAACTCTCACTGATGATCCCCGGTGGGCAGAGCTGCATGCGGGTGTTCAGAGTGGGCACAAGCCTCCAGTTGCAGGGGTGGGGAGGAGTATAGAGGGTGAAGCAGGAGGGATGTTGCCTGTCCATGGGTGATCAGTTGGAGGGTGTGCTCCTGTCCGCTAGAGTGCATCTTGGGGGAGGTTGTGCAGATAGTCCTCGGGCTCCTGGTGCAGGTGGCTGTAGGGAATAGCAACCACCACAGGTCCTCGTGTTCCTAGCAAAGGTGGCTGGAGGAAGTGGGAGGCACCGCCCACCCTCAGGCCCCCGGTATAGGTGGCTGGGTGGAGTGCGAGGTACGGCCAACTCTCAGACCCCCAGCACGAGGGGCCAGAGGGAGTGGGAGGCACCAGTGGCCCTCAGGTCCCGAGCATGAGTGGCTAAAGGCAGCTGAAGGCACCATTGGTCCTCAGGCACCCAGTGCAGGTGGCTGTAGGAAGTGACATGCACCACTGGCCCTCAGGACCCTGGCATGGGTGGTGGAGTGAGTAGGAGGCACCGGTGGCCCTCAGGCCCCTGGCGCGGGTGGCTGGACGGAGTAGGAAATGCTGCAGGTCCGCAGGCCCCCAGCATGAGTGGCTGAGCGAAGAGGTAGGTGCCTCCAGTCCGTGGACTCCCAGCTTAAGAGGAGGGGCAGTGGTGGGTATTGCCAGACTTTGATCACATGCAGGAAGGGGGAATGGACAAGGAGATTGGGGAGCCCCACAGGCCAGTGGGCCTCCGGAACGGGGTGCTGGGATGAGTGTGGTGGGTGGGATGCGTGCATTTAACTTTCACAGGGTGGGAAGCACTCCTGCCTGGCTCTGGACGTCAGTCGCTCTTGCTTGGCTAAACCAGGCGATGGGGGTCTTGGCTGGGAACACTGCTTGCTTTGTCTCAATATAACTACAATGTGCTGGTTCAGCTGGCAGGGTACTGGGGATCTGTAATTTTCCGTGTCCACTGTTTTTATACTGTCTCTTCTTCCACTTGACGCTCAGTCCGATTCTTCAGCCTTGTCTTTGATGCTCAGGGTTCCAAAGTTATCATCTATATCCGATTCACGTTTTCTTGGGTCTTTAAGAGGGACGTTATGAAGCATCTGACTACTCCATCATCTTGGACCACCTCCTGAGGTAATTTAAATAATGCACAGCAGGAAAATGGTAATCCTCACTTAAATTCACCTATTTGTCCAGTTCAGAAGTGTGATGGATCTGGATAATCTCTCTGGATTACTGTAAATTTAATCAGGTGATTACTTAAATTGTAGCTACTATTCCAGATGTGATATTTTTATTAGAGCAAATAAATCAATACAATCCCTGGCAGCTGGTATACTGTTCCACCTGCCTAAACCCATTGCTGTTGAATGAGCAAGACAAAACAAGAGATGACTCATTTGCCAGACTACTTGGTTCCTATAAATTGAGGGCTATGGACTTCACACAGCTAGTAAGTAGCTGAGCCAGGACTGGAACCCATTTTTGTATTAAAATAAGATTTAGAGAAAAACTATAAAACAGAAGGAAAATAGTCTCAGGTATCTCTTTATTCTCAGAAGATAATGTACAAAATACACTGAATTTGATGATTACCTTAGACAGTCTTCCAAATTAAGTAGACTTTGAAAACTTCAAATTTGACTTTTCCAAATGCTTGCAAAAGTAGATATTATTTTGATGTAATTTAGTGCTGATAAGCCTCTTTACTATAAATATCCAGAACGTGCCTATTTGTTTGTTTTTACTGAGATGTAATTCACATATCATAAAATTCAGCCTATTACAGAGTGTGTATCTATTTGGTTTTCTCATTGGATTCTGTCTGAAAATGCTGATCTATTTACTCACTTCAAGTAGCTTTTAGTGACTTAGAAAAGCAACCACAATATCAAAAATCCACATGCTCAGGTCAGTTTTATACAAAAAACTATTTCTATCCTTTTTTCTATCCTTTTCCCCCAATGATTTCTTGAAATCTGGTGGCCACTGGCTCAATTAGAGTTCTCTCTGCTAATTTTGAGCCAGCAGAGGCTCAGGTGAGTCATTTTTAATTTCAGCTACAATACCTTTACTAGAGATATTCAACATCAGGTATTATTTAGCAAAATCAGTACTGTGAATAAGCTTGCTTTCAGCCAATCCTGCACAAAGTCACATCTGCTGGTCATAAAGATTATGTCTTTATCCTGTCTTGAATACTTTCTGCAATTATCAATGACCTTAATTATATAGCAGGGGTCTCTGGGTGGTGCAAAGGGTCAAGTGCTTGGCTACTGACTGAAAGGTTCACAGTCTGAATCCACCCAGAGGTGCCTCAGAAGAAAGACCTGCTGATCTACTTCCAAAAGATCACAGCCATTGAAAATCCTATGGAGCACAGTTCTACTCCAAAACTTCTGGGGTCACTATGAGTCAAAATCAACTCAATGGCAACTTTTTTTTTTTTTTTTTTAAATTATATAGCAAAAATATAAAACAATGACCTTCTCCTTGGAGGGGTGGGGGTGGGAAGAAACCAACACATATGACTTATATGTGCCAATATATGCACCATTGTGGGAGGCTTTTTAAATTCACACACACACACATAAAATCCAAGTTTCTTCATTTCAGCAAACACTGCAGCCTCTTTCACTTGTTCAGAGAAGCAGGGGTGGGAGGGGGGAAGGGATGATAGGAGGAGACGGACTGTTGTAGAGTTTGGAAATGAATTAAAAATTCTAGTTAGCCATTTCCTTTAAAAATGTCTTTTGAGGTTTTGTTTCAGAGCAGAAATAAATCAATTTAGCCTAAGAGAGAATTCTAGTAAACTTAATGAAAGATTGGCTATTAAAGGTCATTTACTTCTGGCATTACATCCTTGCCCTGCTATTGTATTGTTAGGTACCAGGCTTCATCTGTGCCCTTGTTCTCATCCCTATTTCCTTCCTATCTTTATATCTGCAAACTAGTAAACTAAACTTTACATTCATCCGTATTTGTTCTTAAAGCAGTTTTGGGAATTTCCCCCACTGTTCTTGATGTTAGATCATAACAGGAAAAATAAGAACTTAAATTCTGTAACTACTTTTTTAAATGAAAAGGCATGTATTTATATTTATTAATAAAAGGATTTTGATGGAATAGTGACAAAGCTGAGTTTTATGTATAAAATATAAACTTCAATTTGCAGTACTCAAGAGGTATTTAAACTTAGCATTCAGGCTTCATTCCCCTTTACCATTATAAAAATGCTGTAATTACCCATCTTCCAAATAAAACTTTGTGAGGACCCCTGAGTCTTTCCATGAGATAAATTCCTAGAGGGAGAAATCTTCAAAGTGCTATGAAAAATCAATAGAGGAACTACAATTAGTGTTATTATAATAAAAAAATTAGAAGGAGTAGGAAGGGAGATGGGTATGTTATAGATAAAACCTTATCTATTATCAAGAGAAGTAAATACATAACTGAAAGTTGATAAATCAAGACTGGTATATGCACTTCATATGACGATATTTAGCTATATGGGTGGAAGACCCTGAATTACTCCAGTAATTTCATATCAATTTACTTATTTTTTATTTTTTTTTCTAATTTTTACTCTGGTCCTTCCAAAAGTTTTGAAGTGTCTTAGAAAAACACATATAAGATATGAAATAAGTGAGGAAATTGACGTAAAGGGCAAATAAGTGTAGGAAAAATTAGAGGAGGCAGAGGACAAAAGAATCCATTGGAAATGTTTGGGATACTGGTTAAGAATGAAACCCTTGACCTTATCTCAGACCCACTCAATAAGAATCTCTAGGGAAAGACTGAGGAATCTCCTTTTCAGCAGCCTTGATGCCTTAAAGTCCTGAAGTAATTAAAAGAAGATAAGGAATGACTAACAGAATATTAGGATATTTCTTAATGTCACAGTATTTAGACCATGGGAGCTAGGGAAATGGACATTGTGAGACTAACTACAAAGAGAACATTAAAAAGTGTTCTTGTTAGTTGCCTTTGAGTTGATTCCATCTCATGGTGACCCCATGTGTTACGGAGTAGAACTACTGCATAGGGTTTTCTTGGCTGTAATCTTCATGGAAGCAGATCACCAGGCCTATCTTTTGCAGTACCGCTGGGTGGGTTCAAACCACCAGTTTTTAGGTTAGCAGTCAAGTGCAAACTGCTTGCGCCACCTAGGAACCTTAACATTAAAATAATAATAAACCTTACATAAGCTGGAATTACCCCTTCTCCCACTATATTTCCACAATTCTCTTCTGATTTCATTAACCTCCCGATAACAACCCTCACAGAGATGAGAAGACTGTCATTTTGTTCTTTGACTTTTATTCTTAACTTGAAGATGCTTGTTCTGGGAGGTTTTCTCTTTTCTCTTGGCTCAATTCCTAGACTACTGCACCATTTAGCTGGATATTCTGGTGCTCTGGCATCTTTATGTATCACATCAATAGATTAAACAGATACTCAGAAAAATCCCATGTATCAATTAGGCAGTGATATTTAATCTTTTCTGCTGCTTATTCCAAATATTTTCACATTCCTCATTAAAAGGTGAAGCTGCTTACTTTTTCAAACTTAGGATTTGATATATCATAAACACGAATGATAATTACAACTTAATTTTACAATGACATTAAGAATACATTAAAAGTGTATCAGCTTACAGTGACTTCTGCTGTAGCTTTTGTTCAATGATGTCTGAAAAACGAGGAACCTTTTTTGAAATAGCCACACGAATGTCATCACTCATATTAGAGCAGCTTCTAGATTTTGTTTTAAAATGTAAAAGTGATGAAAATCCCAACTCACAAAGGTATGTAGTTGCAAACGGCACAAGGATTTCTAGAGCTGTCTTTGCCAGATTTGGAAATACTGTGAATTGAGCACACCAGAAATCTTCAAGCTTCATTGTCTCAAATTCCATTAGGATTTGGCCACTAGCTCGTAATTCAGCAAGATCATTTTTCATTAAATAACTATCATCGATAAAATCCAGATTAAAAAGGAATGGATCCAGTATCCATTTACTTGCCTCATCAAGATCTCCAACGGAAAAATATCCATGAAAGAAGTTGCTCAGCTGTTGCAGATGCAGTGTTATTTCGGCTGCAATGCGTGCTCCTTCATTATCTGAAACAACTATTTCTTCAAGAAAAGGAAAGTTGGTAAAATTTCTCTTCTCAATTCGCTTTAGCCAAAACGGAAACTTCCTAACAAAAGCAGATAACTTCTCTCTAGCTGATACTGTGTTCATCCCAGTCCTTTGCATAGATGCGCTAAGTTCATTTAGGTGTTTGAATAAATCTGCAAGGTATGCTAAATGAATTTTAAACTCTTTATTTTCAAAGCTATCAACTAAATTACTGCTTTGGTGGTGAAGAAACTGATTTATTTCTTCATACATTTCAAAAATGTGAGTAAGTATTTGGCCTCGGGAAAGCCACCTCATTTCAGTATGGAAAAGGAAGATGCTGTACTCTATACCAATTTCTTCAAAAAAAGCCTGAAAGATGCGATGATTTGGAGCTCGTCCTTTGATGAAATTTATTACCCTCACCACAGTAAACAGAGCATCTGTCAATTTTGATGGCAATGTCTTTGTGACAAGTGCATGAGGGTTCAACATACAATGTGTAATCATGATATGAGGTACCTCTTTCTTCACATAGGTAACAAATTCTGAATTTTCTCCTAGCATAGAAGAAGCACCATCAGTACAAATGGAGCCACATACATCAAGTGCTATCTTATGTTTCAAAAAGAAGTCTCTGAAGAGATTGAACACATCTGTTCCTTTCATGGTTAAACGCAATGGTTCACAGAACAGGAATTCTTCTATGATCTCTTTTTCTTTTATATATCGCACAAATGCCATTAGCTGACTGCAGTCATCCATGTCAGCTGTCTCAGCAAGCTGGATACCCACTTTAAGAGGACTGGCTCTGATATCGTCTAGAACTTGTTGTAAGATATCCTGGCTCATTTCATCAATTCTAGAATGGATCACATCATCTGATAAGGGAACCTGCTGAAGCTTCTTTTGTGCATCTGGTCCCAAAACTATTTGTGCTATTTCCAATGCACAAGGTTTCACTAATTTTTCAGCTATTGTATGAGGATTCTTTTCCTTGGCACATAAATATGCAAACTGATATGAGGCTTGTAATAAGGCATCCTCTTGAGATGCAACTCCAAGTACTTTCAAGGTTTCACTCTGATCAGATGGTGCTGGCATATGTTTTAGGCTATTGAGATCATGCCCAGCTATACCACCATGCTGTCTATTAAAATGGTCAGACAGTTTTGATGGTCTGAGATCAGCATTTGAAAATACTGAGTTACACAAAACACACTGCGGGCGTTGAGTTCCATCAACCTCTGTCGTACAGGTGAACCAGTAACGAACATAATCATCATCCCATTTGCGTTTCTTTGACATGGCATACAAAAATTCTCAGGTGGTACTCCAGAGATGCTGCAGAATTTTGCTTTGGGAGTAAAATACAACCCACACATTAAAAATTAGTGGTTAGCCAAATTAAAACAAAGCCACATCACATGCCATCCTGTCTTCTGTGCACATGTCAAGAAATATCCCACAACATGTCAGTTCAAAGTAAGTCATGACAGCATTAAAGTCCAAATTAAAGCTAGCAACTCATAGCTAATTCCCTAGAATAAATGACTTGCCAACCAAGCTATATACAGAAGATTTGAGTTTAGGCAAGTTGCATAGTTACAGCTAAATTTGTTTTCAATGATGTATGTTCCACACAAATCTGGCACATTTTGTAGCCCCAAAAAGGGCATCTCACTACCATGCCCTTCTTCCATCTTTCCCCAAGGATGCATGCATCCTCTGTTAAGAACCACTAAACAGAGGAAGGAGTAATCTAAATACTGTAAGGAAGGGCAGATTATGACATGGTGACTATTTAAGTAGGAAAGGATTAAACAGGTCTGTCTTGAGCAGCTTACACTCCAACTTAAGCAGAGAATTCCAAACAGGCCTGTAAGTTTGATTAAGCCATCGCTGATAGAGGTAGGCTACAAATTTGGCTCAGAGCTTCCTTGCTGCTAGGGTAAAGTGTATACCATACACCAGCAGTCCATGATTCGTACTACTAATAAAAGCAAAAACAAGGTGCTCCAGAGAAAAGCAACTACTCTTATCATTGAGATTTCAGAAAAATTCCTCTCATAGGAGAACAACCTTAACTATAGTAAGGAATTTCATGATGCTTTTTCATATAACTACCCTCTGAAAAAGCAGCCAAGAAATAAGCCTAAACAACAGAATGGAAATAAGCACCCTCCTAAGGTTTGGCTTAACCCAAGGACAGGATACAGAAGGCAGTGGTTCTCCAGTTTAGTAAGTGGAGGAATCATCTGAGTCTCTTTCTAAAATGCAGATTCCTAGGCCCCAATCCCAGAGATTCTGATTCTCCAGCTCTGGAGGAGGACCGCAGAATTTGTATTTTAAACAAGCATTTTAGATAACTCTTATGAATAATAATTAGAATAGTGATCCTTAACAAGAGTTTCCCATCACATTCACTGACAATCTGTTTCAAAGTATACACGTCCTTGTACCATCTCAAAACTAATAAATCATTTTAGTAGGTCAAAAGAATCTGAAATAAAGTTGTCCAGGTGATTCTGATGCATATCCTAGTGAACAGTCCCATCGAGAGGAATGAAAACATATTTATCAGGTCAATCCCTAGATCACAGATATTCTAGGTTGCCAAGTGAACAGTCCAAATACTTTAACACACGTTTAAGCGTTGTGAGTTGATGACAACCTCCTGTGAAAGTTGAGGGATCTAAAAAGAAAGCCATACCTTTTCTCTTTTTCTTCCTCTTCAGCAATGAGCAAAGGTATAATCCATAGGTAGGCTTAAATATACCTTAGAAAACAGTCTATCTCCAAGATAAATAAGTGATCTCCAAAGTTTCCAAGTTCTGTCCCACAGAATATGTCTGAAACAATTTAACAGGGACACATTTAAACCCAAATGCCCACTCTGACCATAAAAAAAGTCACAATAAAGCCCAAATATTTAAGAACTAGCTTTCTAATGAACCTGCAAGATAAACTAGTTGCAAAATGTACTTCTATGTAACTAATTAAGTTGACCTGCTATATGAGCCAGTTAAACACTGCAGGATGTCTGTCAATCAATAAAGAGGATCTTAAGTTTAAAGAGTTGATTTTATGCCTTCTCTTGTCAAATAATGAGATAATATGGTCAACTGTGTCCAGAACTACTTCTAATTGATGGCAATAAAATTATTAGCTAAGCATAAAAAATGCTTTTCTTTTTGTATTCTATTATGTATATTTAGTGTGTATTTTTTGTGAAGGAAATAGTTTTGCTTTAGTCGCAACAGAAATCATTACAGGATCTGTCAAGCATCCATTCCTATCTACCTGACTATGCTACTCAAGTTTATAATTTTGAGTTAAGATTTACCTATTTTAAACAGAAGAGTTCTTTAGAAAAACCCATTTGTAGTATTCTCCATCTCCCTCAAAAAGAGAATACCAAAAAAACCGTATCCACTGCCACAGAGTCGATTCTGACTCATAGTGACCCCATTGGGTTTCCAAAGCTATAAATCTCTACGGAAGCAGACTACCACATTCTTCTCCTGCAGAGCCGATGGTGGTCTCCAACCGTCGACCCTTCGGTTAGCAGCTGATTGCTTTGACCACTGCATCACCAGGGCTCCTAAAAAAGGGAATAGGTAGCAAGAATTTTCTAGATCCTCAAAGATGAACTTACCGCACAGGAGGCTTTCTTGTGCTTTACAACCTCACAATTTTCACGTGTTCCTTTATGGTATTTAGCAACCACAATATCCTACAAAATGTAAACATTAAAAAAGCATCATGTTGTTATGGAATTGTTAATTTAGACAGATGTGATAACGGCATTGAAGTTGTGTTAAAAAAAAAGAAGTCCTTATCTATTAGAGATGCAGACTTAACTATTTACAAGTGGAATAAGATGTCTAGGATTTCCTTTGAAATACTGTATGTACTTCAGCACACATACAAACACACACAAAGTGGGGTGGAGACAGATGAAATACAATTGGCCTTGAGTTGGTAACGGGTGAAGCTGGATCATGGGTACACATCATTATACCATTTTCACTATTTTTATGTATGTCAGAAATTTTCCATAGTAAAAAGTAAAATAAACAAAAAGCCTTATCTCATTAAGCTGGAAATGTTTTCAGAATGGTTCTTTTCAATCTTTTGAGAGCTATCTTAAGATGCTGAAATGAAAGATCTGATATAATTAATGTAAAATGATTTTGAGTTTACGAAGTAAGGGTAGATATGAAAAAGTATCACAATTAAGAGAAGAATCAGTCAGTTAAAAGTGAACATTCACATAAAAGGAATATTTAGAGCATGCTAAAATATATACATTTGAACAGTGACAACACCGAAGTGCAACTGTAAACCCGAAACTCCATACCAAATACAATTCAGCATATATCTAGTCCCTGCCTACTCAAGTACATGGTACTTGCGGGTGTCTGGAGAGGTGGAAGATTAACTCACTACGTTTTACATTAAAATCAATAACTAGGAGAAAATGGGACAGGAATATAGTAGTTGAGCATGCGCTCTAGAGGCAGACAGCTGGGATCTTGGCTTTGTCACTTAAGGGCTGAGAGACCTCAATTCCTCAGATGGAGATGATAATAGTACCTACCTTATAGGGTTGTTGTGGGGTTTAAGTATGAGAATGCATGTAAAGAACACGCAGCTCTTAACTGGTAGGAGCTGCAGGTGTTAATATTATTAAGGACGCCGAACATTTTCGAGCTGGCCCGGGCTAGCTAAGAGCGCCAGCGGCGAGGCAAGAAGAGCTCCGCTCAGTCGCCACCCGCCCGTCTCGGAGCCTGAGGCGCGGGAATCGAGGCAAGGAGGCCCGTTTCAGGCTCCAGTTCAGCTCTCTGCTCAGCCTAGGGCGCAGCCCCTGGTGCACCATAACCAGTGCAGGTCGCAGTTCTTCAAGTCCGAACCCCAAGTAGGAATCTGCGCGGAGCGAGCCACACACGGAAAGGCAGTCAGCCGCCTCAACCCGGTTGGGCTTCCATCCGCGTTCTCCCGGTTGCTTCCCGCTCACAGACAAGACGAGGCCTCTCCCCGAACGCAGGCGCATTAGCACAAGGTTTAGGGACGGGCTGGCTTCAGTATGGAGCATGCGTACTGGCCCTCTCCAATTTTTTTAGGTTGTGTATGTGGAGCTGAAGGTTTTTTCAGTTGATTTGTGTCTGCCATAAAGGGTGAATCATAAAATCTCAGCAATGGAAGGCACTGTAAAGTCCACATAGTTCTACTTTTTAACATTCAGAGCACTGGAAATCACAATGGATGATAGGCTTCCAAAGCTTGGGCTCTCTTGCCCACCCAGGTGCCCCCACCCTTTCCCATAAATCAGAGCCTATGGATCAATTTCCTGTGAATTGACACCCATCTTGGGGGAAAGACTGTTAATTTTACTTTAAAGAAATAAACACATATTAGATACGTTTTAGAGAAAAATCTCAAAGTAGAAACTAAAATAAGATTGCTGGAAGAAACAAACCCAAACACCCCTCTTTCTTATTTCTGGGGTGTTTCCTCCCAGAATTCCTATAGACTTAATAAGTAAGTGTATCAATTTTGTATAGTCCAATCTTGCTAGAAGCATCCCTCAAGACTGCCAGTGTCGGGGGTAGGGGGCAAGAATCTGGGACAGACGCATCATTTTCAGGTGTAAACTTGTAAAGATCGAGGCTCTGTTTAAAGTTTCTGTCAGTGAAAGAAATTGCAGAAAGCAACCCATTGACCTTTTGCCATCCAGTTGATTCCGACTCATGGCAACTCTACAGGACAGAGTAGAACTGCCCCATAGGGTTTCCAAGGCTGTAATCTTTATGTGAAGCAGACTGCCCCATCTTTCTCCAGAGGAGCAGCTGGTGGGTTCGAACTGCCAATCACTGCACCACCAGGGCTCCACAGTCCAGAAACAAGGGACTTAAAAATAACTATAAAGGGGCAGATGTTAAGAGACACCTGGCACTTTTTTGTTAAGAATTTTGGGCTTGTTTAGCCTGTTTCCTTACTGTAAAATACAGATATTGCCCATTACTCACTCCATGAAGCTCTCTTAATGGGGGAGATGACATTTGAAAATTACAGCACATAGTTCTAGCACTGAAAAGGCTGCTATTAGTATAATAAAATCAAAGCTCAAATTAGAGTAATATTCCAGATGTTACCTTTATTTCAAAATGAAACAGAAATAAGACATGATTTTGAATATATTAGAACTCTTCCTAAAATCAAGAGTAAATTAGACCTCATAGAGAACTGAAGCCCAGAAAGGTTAGGAGATGTATTTTTGTTGTTGTTGTTAAAGTATCATGACATTTTCTAATACAAACTCACAGATGCTACCCAGGCTTACTGCCACTCCTATACCCCACTCTTCTACCAAATTTATTTGAAATAAGGCTACAAAATACTCAGGTAAGTATTCTCAGATACATGTATCTTTACTGACAAAAGATAAATACAAAATAGACACCAATGTCAGGCTTTATGTTGAGCTATCTTGTCCACGTTAAGGTAAAAAATATGAAAACATAAAATTTTGACATTATTAAAGCAGGTAAGAATGAAATCTATTTCCATTGTTTTAATTTCATACTAGTCTGAGCTTAATCTAGATACCATGTATTATCAATGTTTTTATTGTTGCTGCTGTCAAGTTGATTCTGACTCATGGAGACGCCATGTGTGTCAGAGTAGAATTTTCAACAGCTGATTTTTTGGGAGTAGATTGCCAGGCATTTCTTCCGAAGTACCTCTGGGTAGACTCAAAACTCCAACCTTTCGGTTAGCACATTAACCACTGCACCACCCAAGTACATGTATATCAGTAGTATTTGAGAAACTGATTCAGTTACTCTCCTACCAACACTATTTCTGAAACACTGACTTAATGCAGTATCCTTCAAATGGTTTTTGGTAGCTTAGAAAAGCCCGTGAGCTGTTAAAGGTCAGTTTGCTCATATCAGAGGTTTTTAACAGGCTGTTTTCACTGATTCCCTTCAATATTAGCTTCATGATATGCTTAGTGGAGGTTTCAGGATCATGGCAATCTCAGTTACTAAGATCCCTACAATCTTTCCTTATAGTTCATTGAAGAAAATTTCAACCTCAGGTTTTGCCTTTTGCTAATTTTACATAGAAAGCGACACCTGCTGGCTATAAAGGTTAAGTACAATGGACTTTCTATAGTCTACCAAATTTAATATTCATGATTGTTACATAAAGGCAATCACAATTAAAATAACAGCATCACAAACCCATATCCTCTATGATAAACTAAAGGATTATTATGTCTAAAGGCTCATGTCCAGAATGGTAAAAGACCTAGTGTTGATCAGTCAACACTGATTCAAGGATGAAGAAATAACTATTTTTCCACTGATGTATTTTAAATATGGCAAGACTAACATACTTACTTCTAGCTGTAAAGCAGAGGAAATGTATTAAAAATCAAACTTTTATAACCAAGTAAAAAACGAAATACTGCTATTCAGATTGACATGGGGGAAAAAGTTATTCACATGCTATACAGATTTCCTTTCAGGGATCCAAAGCCCAAGGTAGAATAATTCTTTTAGCCTCAGTTCCTGCAGGAAAACCTTAGAAGACAAAGACAAATATTTATAAAATAACTGCAATTGTAGAGTTACTAGTTAATCAAAAAAAAAAAAAAATGCTGTTTTTGAGAAAAAATAACTAATCTACATTAAAAAATGTACATGCACGAATACTAAAGGGCCATGAAAGTTGAGGAAATAAAATCTGAGATATAAGAACTGTTGCGTAGAGGACACTTTGATAGGTAGTGACCTAGGGACTCTTTCCACATCACTCACGTAAAACTGAAAATAAAATCTGAATTCTCATTTAAGGTACTTCCTCTTTATTTTGTTTCTTCAGCGTGGAAAGGAATGAATTTACTATAGGACTTCTGGAAGCTTTATTAAAGTCAGGCATTAAGAAGAGCTGACAAGGATTCCTCCATCTACAATTATCAGCAAGAAGCTGAAAAGAACATATCCGTTGTGTCCATCCTGGATGACCTTCTATGACTAGTTACTACTGGCCAAGGAAAGAGGCCATGGGGTCATCTGGCCTCTGACGTTTCATTCTATAGGCCTCCATTTCCTCTTCCGTTGGTTCCCGGGTTTCATAAATGCTGTTATAAGGCCGCTTCCGCTCATCAATCTGCATGATCTCCTTGACATGAAGAAGACGGGCCTCTTCTGCATTCAGCGCCTATAGTGAGGAGAAAAAATGAGTATCACGGCTCGACGGCACAACTCTTTTGTTCAGAAGTGGCAGAGTACCAAAAGACACCCTGAGTATGAAATGGTACATCAAAAACCTGGACTGCTGGGAAGAATTCGGGAGTCAGTCCTTCCACTGTCGAGCTACAGCTAATGGCTGTTTGGCTGGTAAAATATTTTCATAGAGCACAAAACATTCTCTGTCATTTTTAGTCAATATTAAAGAAACTCTATTTAATAAGAAAAATTGAAAGAAGTTCATTTTACGGATACAAGCCCACAACTGCTGATTCTGGTGGAGACTGTAATTTTATGTTTCCCAAGAATTTACTGAAACTTAAAAATAACAGAGCTAGAGGGTAATTCTTTCTGGGCAACATGTCAATAACTCTAAAACAAAAACTTATAAAGCACATTTCTTCTGTGCGTTAAGTGATATTTATCAAACACTCCAAGAACTCAATTCCTAGGCCCACAAAAATATCCACTCTATTCCATTGTTACCCTTTGTCATCGAGTTGATTCAGACTCCTAGAGATCCTACAGGACAGAGTAAAATAACTGCCCCATAGGGTTTCCTAGGCTGATACCTTTACAGGAGCAGATCTCCAGGTTTTTTCTCCCCTGGAAAGGCTGGGTGGATTGGAACCTCCAGTGTTTCAGTTAGCAGCCAAGTGCTTAACCATTGCACCACCAGGGCTCCTTATTCTAATTCTAAACCTGATATAATGTGATCCAAGCAAATCATCCAGGCTCTGGGCTGGTTTTCTCATTTTTAAAATGAGGGAGATAGGACTACATTGTTTCCTAAGGTCTCTTCAAAATACAGAAGATTGTTATTTGTCAATTTTACTGTTAAGACTTCACAAAGTACCTTTTTCAATTTTTCACGCTTTTCTTCGCCATCACTATCTGAACTGCTCTTTCGATGTTTCTTCTTCTTTTTCTTCTTTTTCTCCTCTTTTAGTTTTTCCTGATGCATCTGAAAGGGAGGATTGAAATACAGTGTTATTAATGTGAAAACAAACCTCTAGTGCAAGTTTTAAAGTCCTCCCCTCAGGACTTACAAACTCAGGACAAATGATCACAGACTTACCTCCATTAGGGTCTGAGGTTTCTTCATGGACTCTTCTCCAGTTACATCACTTGGAATACATTCCTCTGCATTCTGCGTAGTCCAACATGAGAAAATACATTTAATTTGACTTCAGTGTCACAGTTAACAATCATCAAAGTTAAAATCTGAAACATGTTTCATATAGTTTGACTTAAGAGCTTTAGACTGTTTTACACACTTAAGAAGCAGATGACAAGTACTTACAGCAATCTCCTTCCCAGCTTCTCCAGTACAGTAAGAATACTTGACAAAAGAGTGACAACATTTGTATCCCCATCGGCCTTCTTTCCAATAAGATCCCCAAATATGCTGCAAAGAGAGAGACGTTACTTTAAAAGAAACCTAAATGTGGATACTTTCATATAGTGTAGGTAGGAACATAAAATAATAAAGCCCCTTTAAAAGGTAATTTGGGAGGAAAATGATAGAAAAACAGGGTTGACTACGGGGGGGGAGGGGGTGGGCGGTAGCTGGGCCTCAAGTGTGAGAAGCAAGCACTACGGTTACAATGATCTTACATTTGATTCCCCCAAATCTATAAACACACACATATACACACATACATATAATAATTGACTTCTCCTGAAAAATACGGAAGGGTTGGGAAATCCTAAGCCTGTATTCTCACATGACAATAACTGGCTGTTGCTGAACAGTGGATGCCCCTATTAGACAGAATCTGTATTAGACAGAATCTGTGTTCTCCAGTTTGCACAATTTGCCTAGTCCACTTCACTCTTATAGGTTACTGGGCTGGCTGCTATAGGCAGTTGAATTTTGGATCTGATTTATAGAGACAATTACAGTTTGGGTACTTCAAGAGTAGAGCAAGTGATAGTCTGCGCTTTCTGACATGAGGCAATAGGAAGTATCCTGTAACACCTATGAAGTATTCTTGTCAAAAGTGTTTAACTTATATCTAATTAAGCCTTCAGACCTACATTCTCGTTTATAAAAAATATAGAAATAAGTTATATGATATCATGAGGAAATAGTCAAATACAGAATATGCGACAGTCTTCAAGGTAACTGGCCTGATCTCTTCAATAGTCAATGCCAAGAAAAAGGGGAGAAATGTTTTAGAAAAAAGAGACTAGAGAGACATAATATCCAAATAACAATTATAATAAACTTTGATTGGATCTTAACTTGGAAAAACAGCTATTAGTAAGAAGACATTTTGGGGTCTATTTTAGAAACCGTGTTATGGGCCAGATACTACATGGTATTAGAGAATTAATGTTAACTTTCTGAAATGTGATAATGTTACTGTGCTTACATAGGAGAATATCTTTATTTTCAGGAGATACATAATATAGTGTTTATGGGTGAAATAGCTTATCTGTAATTTCCAGCCAAAAATTTTTATAAATATAAAAAATACGTGTGTGTGCACACATGCCCTGATTTCTTTAGCCTGTGTGTACACACACACACATAGACAAAGAATATATGCCAAAATTAAAAAAAAATATTCTGAATCTAGGTGGTGGATATATAGATGAACACTGTAGTACTGTTACCCATTTTTCCTACTTTTGAAAAAATTTCATAATACAGTTAAAAATCTAAAAAAAAAAAAAAAAAAAAAAAATATAGCAGTGACTAGCTAATGAGTTATAATAGAAAATGCAATCCAGAGCAAAATGCTACCAAGAGCACAAGAAGATACTAGTTGAATACATACCGTGTGATTGTTGATCTTCACATCCTCCTCATACTTGGAACAGGCAACAGCCCGCTCCTGTCCTTTGATGACTGTTCCATGTCTCGAGTACTCCACATAGTCCTCAGTCTGAGCTAAAAGCAGTTCAGCTGGAGGAGCATCCAGGTGTTCTTGGCCACCATACTAAAAGGGCGTTGGGCATTATTAAATAAATTATAACAAAGATTTGCATTCATATCTCTGCTGAAGGGTTTATTCCCAATCAGAAAGACTAAGGGAACATTCTTTACTAGGCTTTGTCATACAAAACACAGTAAAAAAAAAAACATTAAAATGTCACCAAATTTTCATAAGCAAATAAAAAGATGTCTGAAGTGTTGTTCACCTGTTGAGTGTGGTAGGTTACAAAAAGGGCATAAATTCCTCTTATGCCTGTATGCGTGACATTTTGCCACGTGGCTTTGCTACTCCACCCATTAAGAGAAGGGGTCTATTTCTCCACTCCTTAAATCAGGACTTGGCCATGTTACTTGCTTTAGCCAATTGGAAACTGGCAAATATGATCCAAGCAAAAGCCTAAAAAGCACTTGTGTGCAGGGCATGCTTTCTGTTGCTATTCTCTGAGACCCTGAGACTGCCATGTAAAGGAGTAACAAGGACTAGTCTACTGGAGGATGAGAGACTATATGGTGCTGACATGGAACTATCACAGATAAAGCCCTCTTGGGATAATTAGCTTGTTAGCTGATAAATACCAGAGTGAGGCCATCTTAGACCACCCAGCCTCAGCTGAGCAGGCCCACACCAGGACAGCCAGGTGACATGTAGAATTGTGAGAAATCCTAAACGTTTATGCGAAGCTACTAAGTTTTGGGGTGGTTTGTTTTGCTGCAAAAGCTAACGGATTAAAAAAAAAGTGCCTAACAACTGATTAAGACAGTGGAAGGAAAGGAATATTCCTCATGGAATGAAAGGGACCCTCTGTACTGCATTCCAAACATAAAACAAATGATTGTTACCTAGAAATTTGTCTTAAGTATCATTCTTCAGCATTTTGTCAAACTTACCTTTTCCAGAATGCTTTCTTTCTGCTGTTCTTTGAAATCTTCTTTTTTAACTTTGAATGATTTATACAACAGCTCTAGTTTTGTAGGATCTGCCTGCAGATGCACTTCAGATCCCTTGTCATAGGCTTCCCAAGCAAACACTAGAATAATCAAAAACATCCAAGTGAGTCACCAGCTACCTTTGTCACATCCTTCTTGAACACCAGCTTAAAATACTGCTCCCAAATATTTTATGTGCTGATATAAAATGCCTTAATAGAAAAGCAAACACTTACACTGTGTCTGCGCCATGGAGATGGTATCCCCTGTGTATCGGACGAAGTTATCTCCTGCATAACTAACTCTGTAAATACAAAATTAAAGAAAAATGTTTCAGAGAAATTGATTTCTTTAAGGAACATTAATTCTTTTGTGATCCAATCACACATGATGATCATTCTAACTAAGATTTAGTTTTATACTTAAAATCTTCCTTCCTTCATCTTGAAATTTGTAAATTTAACTTGATACTTACTCATCTGGATTCTTTCCTGCATTGGCATAGGGATTCTCTCTCATTGCTCTGGTTTTGGGATCATAGTAAGCAGAGTTTGGATCTAAATTCCGCAAATACTAGAAGGAAAAAAATGGTTTGAAGACTGCATTAATGTTTTACTTATATGAAAAAAAGATTTCAGTAGATTGGTAGGTGGAGTTGATCACGATAAATTAAATGGGTGTGTCCATATCTGGGGTACAGATGAAGAGGAAAAAACCAGAATGGTACCTAATCTTGAAATAATTCTGACTATACTATCCATATGCCATACGAGTAGACAAAATTTAGGCTGAAAAGACAAATGTTTTTCAAATATGTATGTCAGGGCAAGACTTACTTTTGCAATATCTTCTCTAATCCTGAGATTCCGGACGGTAATTCGTCTCTTAGAGTCAAAATTCTGTCCTGGCATGTCAATATCATCTGCGTATTTATCTTCATCCTCATCTTCACTGTTATGTTCTTTTTCCTGAGACAGAAAGAGAAGGGGGAAAAGCTATTAAGAAAACAAGATCAACACCTCATTTGTGTTTTCTTTCCTTTCCTTTTAACCAAACCCTTATTCATTTGTGTTATTTAAAGCTACAGGTCAAGTATTTATTCATACTAGCCACTAGAAATTTAAAATTTTAATGACTACCCAGGTATTGCAAATATTTATTACCGTCTGAGAATTTGGTTCCTCCTCTCCCCACTGGTGTTTTGGAGAATTCTGCATCATGAAAGAAGGAAAAGAATTTATAATCTTATTCCACTGAAAACAATCATTTAACACTTTAAAAATGTATTTAAGATAACTCCATTCTAACTGAAACTGTCATATTTCTGTTGTAATGAGAACAGAAGTTCTGAATACAAGTATGCCATTCTGAATGGTTAATTTTATTAGACTGTCTACAAAGCGAGAAAATTTCTAGAGCCATTTTCATTGACTGAAGATTATAATCACATGAAGATAAAAGGAACATTAAGATGACCATAAGGAGCGCTGGTGGCACAATGGTTAAGTGCTCGGTTGCTAACTGAGAGGTCAGAGGTTTGAACTCACCCGTGGCTCAGTGGAAGAAAAGACCTGGCAATCTGCTTCCATAAACATTAAAGCCTAGAAAACCCTATGGGGCAGTTCTACTCTGTCATATAGGACAGCTATTAGTTAGAATCAACTTGACAACGCAAAACCAGATGTATATATATATAATTAACAGGTCAATTATGTAAAGATGTATGTACAAGAATGTAATTTACAGTATTGTCTGCAACAACAAAAAATTGGGGGAAAAATCAAATTTAACAATAGAGAACTGGTAATATAATTTATGGCCTTCAATGGAACATTGAACAACCATTAAAAGTGATCCTATCCAAGGTGCTAGAGAGTATGCATAATTTGCTGCTTCTGAAAAATAAAAACGGGTGGGAATAAGAATATATGTTTGTATCGTTTATGTTTACACAGAAACTCCAAATAGATTCACAAGCAAAATAAAACCAAAGTTATTGGGTTGGGGGCATGTAGAGAGATGGGGTGCACAGAGGCAGGGGAGGGAAAGTTTTCACTGTATAATTTTCTTAAATTGTTCTTGATTTTTGAACCATGTGAAATTATCTAAAATTAAATGTTATATCAAAACAAACCAAACCAAACCCACTGCCAACAAGTCGATTCTGACTCATAGTGATCCCACAGGACAGAGTAGAACTGCCCTATAGGGTTTCTAAGGCTGTAAATCTTTACGGAAGCAAAATACATCTTTCTCCCTTAGAGCGACTGGTGAACTCAAACTGCCAACCTTTCGATATGTAATGACATAAAAACAGGTCCTCATTGCATTACATATTGTTAAATAAGAAGAGCAATGAAAATTTTTGTGCAAAATGAATTTTCTAAACTCTTGAAAATTCTTTTGGATGGATGGATCTAGTAATTTCAATCCAGAAATGGTATATAAATATTTTATGGCACTATCTTTTCCAAAATGACTCCATGAATTTACATTCCCATGAACAGTATTAAACATGTCAGTTTTACTCTTCCTCTTCAACAGCTCTTCTCTCTAAAATCTTTTCCAATTGGAGAGATAAAACTATTAACTGTTTCAATTTTTATTTCTTCGATTACTAAGAATTCAACATTTTTTAATTGATTGCTTTTATTACTTACAGCCTGTTCCACTAATTTTCCTGAGGCCAATTCTTCTTGTAGTTTTTGGGCTTTTAGTGTTCGCTTTGCCTAAAAAACATAAACATTTAAAATTTACTTACAACATTCAAATGGCCATTTAATTTTTATACATTTAAAAAGGATAACTTCATTATTTTCAGAAAAAGTCATTAGCCAAATATAATCTCATTAAGATTCCTCTAGTTCTAAGATCTGTGACTGTTTCGATATTTACCCTAAAGCAACAATGAGAAGGAAAGGAGGGTCAGGGAGTTAAATTAATGGAGAGAAAACAAACAGAATGGAAATAATGAGAATGCTGGCAAGAATCAACATTTATCCTAAAATCTATAACTGTCTAGAGTACTAGGCATTGTAAACTTTTGTTTGGACCAGGGAGTTAATGCAGACTGAGTCAGACAGCATCAGCAGTCAACTGCAGAAAGCAGCCCTCTGGCTAAAAGGAGCAGTAGCTACCCGACTCCAGATGACTGACCCCTGCCAGGCAGGCCAGGTTATTCAGTATTTCAGTGTTCAAGAAAAGATGAAATCCAGATTTTTAAGTGAAATCTCAAGAATTTGAAACATTAAGTCTAATTTTAAAATAATGCAGCGTGGCTTTGGTTTTAAAGGAACGGGGATGAGTAGGAGAAATCAAAACAGAAAAAAATGAGGTTGAATTAAAATAAGTTTTGATTCTCTGGAACAAGTGCTGTGTGAGATAAATAAAACAGGCCCATGGGCAAGATACAGCCTGAAAGCCAAGAGTTTACAACTTCAGAAAGCCAAAAGCTTTGGACACTAAGCTGCTTTCATGTTTCCAGTAACTTCTACAACCTAAGTAAGAAAATAAAGACAATAAAAGAATCCAGTAAGAAGGAACTGTTGCCAAGGACAGTTTGCACACTTTTATCTTCACTATTCAATTAGGTCTACTACTACTAAAAACGAACACACAAAACAAACCCACTGCTGTCAATTCTGACTCATAGCAACCCTACAGGACAGAGTAGAACTGCTGTAAATCCTTCCAAGTCTTTAAATCTTTACAGGAGCAGACTGCCACATCTTTCTCCCACTACTACTACTGGTATTATTTAAAAAAAAAACAACAAAAAAAAACCAAACATTTTTGTAAGGCTTTAAGACTCAAAAAAAAAAGTTGTTAAATTAGAAATACAGCAAGGGTGTATATTCTTTAAGGATAGTAGGACAGCAGGGAATTTTGCTTACCAGATCAACTTTGGCATATTCTTCTACAATTTTCATGTGTTCTTCTGGATTGTAGCCATTCCACCGATCCCTCTTCCCATCATAGTCAAACATTAGCTGAGGCTGTACATGTTCATCTGGAGCTATATTAGTACCTGTAAATTTTGCTCCAACTCGCCTAGGTCTCTGAAAAACAGACGAATTAATTTTTCCTTAGTACTGGCAACCCACAGCAAAATTTCATAAAACATTTAAAGAGCTAGAATAAAAACAGCATAGGACTTTATGGTCTACTCAATTATCATTTAATCTTCAGCAGAAATTTTTTGATGGTACTGAACTAAACCAAATTAATTTTTATTGCACTTGTAGACAAATTGTTGTCGTTAGGAGCTGTTTAGTTGGTTCTGACTCACAGCGCCCCTATGTACAAGAGAATGAAACACTGCTCAAATACAGGTAATTTTAAAAAACAGAATTAAGCTCTCTGACAGGGAAAAAAGAAAGGAAGACTCTGGTGGCAATTTCCAAAATTCTCAAAGGCAAACTTACCTCAAAGCAGTCTTTCTTTTTGTGTGTCATGGCCCCACAATTTTCACATGCTCCTTTGCGATACTTAGTAGTTATGAAATTCTATAAATGGATATGAAGAAAAAATATTTTATTTATCTGAATAAGTTAGAAATAACATTGGCTCTCATTACTATATTATCTAATAAAATGATTTATTCCTTAAGAGAAAAACCAGTCAGAAGTCGCCACATGTTTATAAATGAGAAAGTTTATGAATGTCAGCAATATTAAATTTATAAAAGAAAATTCAGAAGCTAAACTAGTACGCGTTGTGAATTTCAATACCAGATAAAGGGTTATATAATCTGTTTCAGCGTCATATACTATTACATTAAGTTGTCGTGTATTAAATTCTTAAAATAAAATCTCCATGTAAACACAGACATACACAGATTGCCTACATACCTCTTTTACACCCCTCTTGTACCAATCTCCAGATGAGCTATACTGCTTTTGTTTCTCTGGCTGTGGTCTTTGGTGCTTTAATGTAGGTCTTTTTGATGGATCAATATACCATGGTACCGAAGAAATGTACTGAGGGATATGAGGGTTGATGTCTCTGTGAAAAAAATTTAAAAAATTTAAGAATAAAGCTTGAAAGTAATTAACATTAAAATTGCAAAGCCAGCATATGAAGAGTCTAAGACTAGAGATATAATTCTAGTGAGAAGAGGGAGAGGGAACAGAATTGATAACTCTACTAAAAAAAAAACAATAAAGAAGAAAGAACAAAGTAATTTATATTACAGTTAAAAATTTCCGACAAAGAAACTAAGAATAGTGATATAAAGACGAGAGGTGAAGGAAGATGGAGCTATTTTGCTAGTGAGCTAAATCTTCTATCACAGCAAGAAATTAACCGATACTGTCCAAAATCGATTGATTAAAATAATGGTCTAATTATATCATTTAGCAATATGGAGGTATCAAAGGAGTCCCGGTAGCACAGTGGTTAAAGTGCTCAGTTGCTAACCAAAAGGTTGGTGGTTGGAACTCACTAGCTGCTCCATGGCAGAAAGATTTGGCAGTCTGCTTTCGTAAAGATTACAGCCTTGGAAACCCTATGGGGCAGCTCAACTATGTCCTACAGGGTAGCTATAGGTCAGAATTGACTCAACAGCAATGGGTTTGGCTTGGTTTATAGAGGTATCAACCAGAAAAACTAAAGAAAGACTTAAAAGTAGTCATTTCTGGACAGTGAGATAGGGAGGGAAAAAGATGGAAAGGGACTATTGCTTTTCATTATTAGCCCTTCAGAATTATTTGATTATTAAATCTTACACACATTAGTTTTGATAAAATAAATAATAAAAACAAAAATGATGTAAATGGTAAAGATAGCTTCCTGCCAATTCAAAGAATGAGAAACTGATAAACTAAGTAGACATGAACTTTGAATACACAAAACATGCAGAAAATATACTTACTTTCCTTCTTCATCAACTTCTGCAGGAGCATTACCCAGTTTTCGCTGTTCTTCAAGCTCCTTCTTCTTTCTCCAGTCCTCTCTGGTCATCTTCTTTGGTTCCTCCAAACTCATTTCTTTCGACCCGGTCAAGGGGGCAGCATTAACTGCTTCCACAGCTGCAGCCGACATGGTTACTTGGTCTCCTCTAAGAGAAAGAAGAAATAAGAGTACAGTATAAACTAGGCTTTCATGAATTCATCACTGAAACTACCCAAAATATATCCTAATAACACATGCTATGGGTTATATGTAATGTTTCACATATTCTTATTCTTTTATATCTGTAAGGGAATGGTCTCTTTCCCCTCCTCAAAAGAACTCTCTATATACTCTTAGCACTGTTTCTCCCTCACCCCTCATTTACATGTGAAGACATACATATATGTATTTAAAATTTCAAGGGATTCTTTCTCTCATATATATTCCTGATTTTCTCTATGTGTATTGTGTCTCAAATTTCTGTACCACACTAACTCTTGAGAGTAAACAGGCTCCCATCTCTGCTCCCTTTCAAGGCCAAACGCCTTAAGAGTTATCTATATTCACTGTCCCTATTTCTTCACCTTTACTTCCCTTCTCATCCACTCTAATGTAGCTTCTACCCCCTACCACTCCAAAGAAAGAGTTACTACTAAGTTATCAATGATCATACTGGGGAAACCAGCACAACTTGTACAAGGAAAGGTCACGGAAGCTCCATAGACACATCCAAACTCCCTGAGGGACTGAATTGCTGGGTGGAGGGCTGTGGGGACCATGGTCTCGGGGAACAACTAGCTCAACTGGCATAACACAGTTTATAAAGACAATGTTCTACATTCTACCTTGGTGAGTAGCGTCTGGGGTCTTAAAAGCCTGTGAGTGGCCATCTAAGATACTCCACTGGTCTCATCCCTTCGGGAGCAAGGGAGAATGAAGAGAACAGGATACAAGGAAAAGATTAGTCTGAAGGACTGATGGACCACAGCTACCAAGGCCTCCACCAGACTGAGTCCAGAACAGCTAGCTGGTGCCAGGCTACCACTGACTTCTCTGACCGGGATCACAATAGAGGGTTCTGGACAGAGCTGGAGAAGGATGTAGAACAAAATTCTCACTTACAAAATAAAGACCAGATTTACTAGCCTAAAGAAGACTGGAGAAACCCCGAGAGTATGGCCCCCAGACACCCTTTTAGCTCAGTGGTGAAGTCACTTCCAAGGTTCACCGTTCAGCGGGGCATTGGACAGCCCCATAAAACAAAACGGACTAATGAGGCACAGCAGTCCAGGGACAAGGACTAGAAGGCAGAAGGGGACAGGAAAGCTGGTGATAGGGAACCCAAGGTTGAGTAAGGATAGTGTTGATGTGCTGTGAGGTTGTTAACCATTGCCATAGGGCAATGTGTACTAACTGTTTAATGAGAAACTATTTTGTTCTGTAAACCTTCATCTAAAGTGAGAATAGCAGCACAACTGGAAGAGCATAGTCGATGTCACTGAACTGTGCATGTAGAAATTTTTGAAATGGTGTATCTTCGGCTATGTATATTTTCACCAAAAAAAAAAAAAAAGGTTGAGAAGGGAGAGGGTTGACATGTCGTGTGGTTGTTAACCAATGTCATAAAACAATATGCGTACTACTGTTTCATGAGAAACTATTTGTTCTGTAAACCTTCACCTGAAGTACAATTAAAAAAAATAAAGTAATTAAAAAAAAAAGTTATCAATGATCAGTGTGTTAAATCCATTGTCAACTGTTCCTTTCCTTTTAGATATAATCTTATCCCTTGGCCTACATGATACCATACCTCCTGGTTTTTCTTGTACTTCTCTTGCTGCTCCTTCTGTCTCCTTTGCAGGTTCACCCACTTCTGCCTAGTTATTTAACGCTGCATTCCTCAAAGCTCAGACCTAGGGCCTTTCTCCTCGCTCTAAACTCTACTAGTGGACAAGCTCATCCATATCCAAGGTTTCAGTACCACCAATACACCATTGATGGCACCCCAATTCATTTCTCTATGCCAGACTTCTCATACATTCAGATTCATATATTCATCTGCTTACTTGACGTCTCCCCATAGAGGTCTCAAAGATAACTAAACTCAACAAGTCCTAGTGCAAACTCACAAGCTTCCCCCTGAAATCTAGTCCCCTTCCACTGTTCTCTATCTCAATGAATGACAGTATTATCTATTTATGCAAGTGGTGCACTCATACCTCATATCTATGTCATTACTAAAAAAGGTTATTTTCACCTCCTGAATCACATTCATATTCATCCACTTCTTTCAATTCTCAATGCTACCACCTATGTGTAAATTATTACTTTAGTCTCCTCTGGTTCCTGCCACTACATTCTCCATCCTGATGACAATATTTTTTGACCAAACTAGGCACCATAGACTAGCCAAGCTGACACATAAAATTAACCATCACAGGAAGATTAAAACCCTCCAATGCAGTGCCACCCAAGAGAAATATAATGTCAGCCTCAGGTGTAATTTTAAGTCTTCCAGTAGCCATATTAAAAGAGCAAAAAGACACAGGTAAAAGTAAGTTTACAATACTTCATTTAATGTAATATATTAAACATATTTCAACAAGCAATCAACATAAAAAATCAACTACATCTTTAAAGCCCATTGCGTATTTTACATTTTGAGGTCGAGTCACATTTCAAGGCTCAATAGCCTCAAGTGGCTAGTATCTACCATACTGGACAGTGCAGCTTATTATAATAATGGCTTATTATAATTTTCTTCCAATACATCATGCTCCCTCCAGTCATAGGGGTTTTACATAGATTCTTTCTCAATGGAATTGCTCAATGGCTGGGAATCCACTAAATCTACTCAAAGGTGTTCTCTTCTCCTGTGTGTGACCTATAGAAAACCTACATGATAGCCTAAGTATATTGCGAGGTAAAGAAGGACACCAGCAAATCTAACCATCTTCATTTATAACATATGTAACATTATAACAGATGCATAATTAATCGCATTTACAGGTGAAGAAACAGGTCCTGAGAAGTTCAACACTCTCCCAACGACACATGGTAGTAAGTGACAGAGACGAACTTAAACCCACGCCTGACTACAAAGTCGGTTCTTTAAACCATTTTGTTTTATTCTCTCCACAGGGCACTTGCTTCTGAGCCTGAAATATTAAAAATTATACCTAAATAAAGTATTGTAGTCACCAAGATGTATTTATTAGGTTCCTACGCTGTGTCGGGCCTAGAAGTTATCTCCTACAAGTAATAATAATTTAATAGCTCTCTCACTTACTGAAAACTTTAAGACTGAAGATACTCTCTAGCGTTTAACATGTATTATCTTTTATCCCTCATAGTAGTTCAGTGAAGAAGGTACTATTATCGTCCCTTCTTAATCGATGAGAAAACTGAAGCTCAAAGACATTCTTCTGGAGAAAAACCAAAGCCTGTCAATTTGGGTACTGGAAGAAGCCGATTCCAGTCTCTCCCCGTACTCTGGGGACTGCTCAGGCTTTCGGAGGGCATACTTAAAATCACCTCACAAAGGAGACACTCTTTGAGTTATCCTGGCTCCTTCCCTGAGGGCGCAGGCCTTGACGGCTTCGCCATAGTACCATGTCTGAGACCAAAGACAGCGATTTCTTTCACCGTCCGGGTCTCCGTTCGTCCCTCAATCTGGCGTTAATCCCCCATTGCAAGGACGTATCTAAGAATTGGAAGTCTTCGACCCATTTTCCGTGGTTCCCCGGCTCCGGGCTCCAGGTTCTCTGAATATTTACTTACCCAATCCCGCAGCAGCCAACCTCCAAACCAAACGACAAACGAAGAAGCCAATTGTACTATGTTTACTTCCGGGCTCCGCAATCTCCCAGCAGCCACTGCGGTAGCGTCCGCTACGGTCGAACACATGCGCATTAACAACTCTTTTGGTCTCAGGAGCCTTTGCTGCGTTGGCGTCGCGAGATTTTGAGCCGTGGGTATCGCGCTGTTTATCCAGATTGTTATTGTGTTTGAGTTTTGGTTACTTAGTTTGTCAGTGCGTGTGAATGTTAGAACTGATCAGATTCTTTAGCTGTAGATTGCTTTGGAATCTCAGGTTCTCAGGGCTCAAAGGACATAAAAGGAAAAAAAGAAATTAATATCAAGAGCAGACAGCAGCTCACAAATCTTAAGCCTCATTAGAAGAGCGGGAAGTGAGTGGGGAAGTTCATAAGGTATTACGAAAAAAGTAGCTAGAATTAGTAGTAGTAATTAGTTGCCAGGTACTGTGTAAATTGCTGGGGATGTGGTGAACACAAGCGTCCCTCTCCTCGAGTTTACACCATATCGAGTAAGAAAGACACTAATAATTTTTTCAAGTTGTCAGATGTAGCAGTGAAAGAAATACCACGTGTTAGAACGTGAGGTAATGTTTAGTAATTGTGACTCCCCGTGCCTAAGTGATCTCGTAGTTTATCATTAGAAACAAACACTATAAAACGGTTTACATTTTGGAAAATTATGACATGCCAGTCATCTGTTTAACATAACAAACTAAAATGCTGGAAATTTGGTAGTTTAATTTTCCAGTGGATTTTTTTTCTTTGTGATATCTGCTCTAGGCATTTTTCTTAAAATGAACATATATTCCTTTTAAAAAGTAAAAAATTGAAAAGCTACTATCCCTGCTTCAAAGAGGGCAAAATTCCAGATGAAGGAATAAAAGTGTCAGGCTAGCCTGACAGTAACTAGAGTCTATAAATCTCCCAGACTTTTTTTTTTAAAGTCCCCTTAATTTCTGAATTTTGCTTCAGGATGTTGAAACCTAGTCACCCAAAATCACCGGGCACAAACCAGGAAGCACATCCCCCAGACGTATCTTAGAATCTGTTGCACAAGAAAGAGGGAGCAGGCAAGAATGAGTCTTATTGCAAGGTTTGGGTTCCTGTGGGAGGATCTGAGGGGAGTTTAGGGAAGAGGGGACCACTTCTAGAGGGGACCAGTTCTAGATGGGTTCCTGTTTCTAATGCAGGATTAGATGTAATTAGGGTTAACTAGGGTTTAGGTCCTTTCATGAGGCAGTGTGGTTTTGCAATGGGGCTTCCCCAGTGATAGTTGGGAATAGCAAAGTGAGGCTGGGGACATCATTGGTAAGCAAGCAGTGGTCACTCAAAGAGGTGGTTGTTAGGCATTCTAAAGTTGCTGTGTGGCCTTGAGAAGAGCCCTGGTGGTACAGTGGTTAAAGCACTCAGCTGTTAACCAAAAGGTCACTGGTTTGAACCCACCAGGTGCTGGGCAGGAGAAAGATATGGCAGTCTGCTTCTGTAAAGATTTACAACCTTGGAAACCCTATGGGGAAGCTCTACTCTGTCCTATAAGGTGATTATGAGTCGGAATCAACTCAAAGGCAATGGGTTTGGTTTTGAGTTTCATATGACCTTGGGAGAAACAATACTTCCTCTTAATTTGCAACTAGCTTTATCTGATTTATCCTCCAGCCTGATTATGGCAGGGCTGATCTTCTCTTATTTCAGGTCAAGCTGATTTTCACTCTTTCAATTCTAGACAGGGTTTTACCCTTTTAAAGGGAGAAAAAGCCCAAAGCTACTCGAATAATGAGCATTGGGCCTTGAGGAGGGGGCAACTAATTTGTTTTTCGTTTTGGAAAGGAGGGCAATTTGCAGTACCGAAATTAAATACTAATAGAGGTTGTTCTTAAGGCTGACAGGGGTTGGTGAAAAAAAAGGGAGGGGAGGGATATTCTAAGGGGATATGATAAGCCTCAAACCCATAAACCTTAGGAGGTAGAGAATCCCCAACTTGGAATCTATAGGTGTGTACATATTTGGTCTCAATAGTTAACACTTTTGTGTGCTGATGATGTAATATGAAGATGTGAAATGTAGGAGAAAATAGTGGGGAGAGATAAAGCAAAGAGGAGAGGAAAGGGTCAGTAAAGGTATGCATAGTTTTTTGCTCTCCCTCTTTTCTTCCGATTCTTGAGTTAAGATAGTTTCTTCTCGGTGCCCCGCATAGTGTCCTGCATTTCCTAAGCATTCAATAAACATTTGCTGAATGCGTGAATCATTCAATTAATTCCCTGAAATGCCAGGTAAGAATAGAAAACTGGCATATATTGAGATCTAGGTCTATGCCTGCTGGAGGGTTAAACCTTTTGTGAAAGATTTAGGGTCTTCTCATCGCTCCTGTTATAACAAAAATTATATTAAGCCAATAATAGAAATTGATGGAAGTTTAATACACGATTTGTAAATTGGGGTAACACTTTCACAAGGAAGTAAAAAAAATGTTCCAAAGATTAAAGAATTTACAAAGATTCTTAGACCCCATGTTATAGATATTGCCATGGAAACTGGGCCAGAACGGTGTGTTTATATAATAACAATTTACCCTAAAATACAGCTTCTAGGCTGCAAGATGGGCTCAAGGATAGCAGTGATAGTGAGCATGGGCGCTTATTAGAATACAAATTCTTAGTGGGGTTTGAACCAATTAGGTTCTAAGCCTTGGTTTTGGGTTTGTTTACTCTTTGGATAAACAGTTGATTTGTTGAAGGCATTGGGAAAATAGTTCTGTTACCCCTTTTATTTTCTGATGTTGATGTCATTTACAGATTAACCTCTCTGGTTCCCTGTTGTAATTCTTTTGGTTTTGGATAGTCCTTGAGATTCATTTCCTAGGTTGCTGTCTGGCTGGTACAATCTTGTGTCCTAGATTCAGCCTGTGGTATGATCTTGTTTGTTCTCAGACCGAAGGATTCCCTTTAATAGTTCTTGTAAGTTTGATTTGGTTTTTACATAGTCCCTTAATTTCTGTTTATCTGGAAATGTCCTAATTTCACCATCATATTTGAATGAGAGTTTTGCAGGATATATTATTCTTGGCTGGCAATTTTTTTCTTTCAAGGTTTTATATGTGTTATCCCATTGCCTTCTTGCCTGCGTGGTTTCTGCTGAGTAATTCGAGCTTAGTCTTATTGTTTTTCCTCTGTATGTGAGTTTTCATTTTTCTCGAGCTGCTTTCAGGATTCTTTGTCTTTGGTTTTAGCGAGTGTGATTTTGATATGCCTTGGTGATTTTCTTTTGGGGTCTGTTCTATATGGGGTTTGTTGAGCATTTTGGATGGTCAACTTTTCATCTTTCATGATATTGGGGAAGTTTTCTGTCAGCAGTTCTTCAATGATCCTCTCTGTATTTTCTGTTTTCTCCCCTTGTTCTGGAACTCTGATCACTTGAAAATTTTTGCTTTTGATTGTATCCCACATAATTCTCAGAGTTTCTTCATTTTTTTTTCATTTTTTTTCTGATTTTTCCTCCAACAAATCTGTATCCAAGTGTTTGTCTTCAGTTTTGCTGATCATGTCTTCCATCATTTCAAACCTGCTCCTCAGCCCTTCTAGGACACTGTCTATTTCTGAAATCTTGTTTTTTATCTTTTGGATTTCTGATTGTTTTTGTGTGATTTCTAGTTGTGAATTTATTTTTGCATTTTGTTCCTGTAATATTTTTCTGAATTATTCCATTCTTTGGTCTGTATTTTCCATGAATTTGTCTGCCTTTTCCATGAATTTGTCTGTTTTCTCCTCATTTTTGTCTGCTTGTTGGATAGCTCTGCATATTAGAGATTTGAATTCCCTATAGGTAGTTCTAGTCGCTTTTCTTCTACCGGAAAGTCATCTGGTGTTTTATTTTGGATGCCTACTGGAACCATCCTGTCCTGTTTTTTAATATGTTTTGATATTGTCTGCTGTCTTTGTGACATTCAGTAGTTATTTTCCCTGTGCCTGTGCTGCATGAGGGTGTGATGTTCAGCTCATGGTGCAGATAGGCAGGAAGGAGGGAGGAGATTGTGATTTGTGGAGCTAAGATAGGTATGGGAAAAAGGAGAGAGAGGAGAGAGAAACAGGAGCTCCCCCTCCCAAAAAAAAAAGAGTGCTAAGGGGGCTTGCCATTGGAGTGAAGAGATGAGAAACTGAGAAATGGAGAAAAGCAAAAAGGAAAAAAAAAAAAAAAAAGGAAAAGTGTAAAAGAAAAAATAAATAAAAATTAGGAAAAAAAAATGCAAAGCTCTCAGGGATCCCACCACTGTAGCTGCGAAGACTGGGGAAGTGGCTCCCAGTACAGCCTGGCTAGAAGGGGTAGAGGTGTCACACAGTGCCAGGTATTCAGGAGACAGGAAGAGAAGGTAAGTATAGAGAGATGAGGAACTGAGAAATGAAGAAAGACAAAAAGGAAAAAAGAGAGAAAAGAAAACAAAAAGCAAAAAAAAAAAAATGCTCTCAGGAATCCCACTGTGTGGTTGTGCAGAATGGGGAAGTAGCTCCCAAGCTGCGCAACACAGTCTGGCTAGGAGGGGCTCCCAAGCCAAGAAAAGAAAAAGAAAACAAACAAACAAACAAAACAGAACAGAACAAATCAAAATAAAAAAAGGCCTGGGGATCCCACCATTGTGGCGGCATGGGCCAGGAAAGAGTTCCACAGTCGAGTGGCATATCACAGCCTTTTGAGAAGAAGCAAAGATGACACACGGAGCCAGGTATTTGAGAGAAAGGAGGGGGTGGTGGTGAGAGGTATGAAAGAAACCAAAAGGAGTGGAAAAAAGCAACACAAGCAACAAACAAATGGCACTCAGGGAGCCTGCCAGTGTGAGCAGGTGGAATCCAAGCAGCACAGTAGTGAAGCCGGTGCCTCCTGGCCAAGACGCTGTGGCTGCTGGAAGCAGAGGAGGCCGAGTGGGGGGTGAAGAAGGGTGGGGGGCAGAAAAGCATATGTAGCTGGTTACTGGTTGTTCTGTTTCCTGCTTGGAGCTCCATGAAGCTGCTTTCCAGTATTCTCTGTTCACTGATCTCCGACAGGAGTCCAAGATGGTGAATCCGTGCT